GTTAATTACAAGGTCTCATATAAGATTAGACTTCACTTAAGTGAATGAGTAAAGCCAACACCAGTTGGGGATTGGTTGTAAAGCTTTTGAGAACAACCCAGGTGCTTTGTTTGGTACAGATGATGTCAAGAAGGAGTTAGTCTGACAATATATGTAGGGGACCTGAGAACTACGAAGATGCAATGAGAAGCCAAGATGCTTATAGACTATATCAAAACTCTGTTGCTCCAAACCAATGCTATATTACAAGAAAAAAATTCAGACTGATATTACACTCCCTGCCAATGTATGATTTCTATTGTGTTAATTTCAGCTTGGTGACCTTATTTTTAAAATAGTCATGACATTCAGAGTACCAAGAGCTCAGCTGCTCCCAAGAGTATCATCTGTTCTGCATTAGAAAGCTTTAAACTAAAGAACAAAGTTTCCCCCGGTAATGTTACATATAGGGATATTATGTTATATATAAGGTTATATATAGGAATGTTATATGTAGGGATGTTATACATAGGGATGTTATGTTATATATAGGAATCCCTGGGTCACACAATTCTTCTGACTCTCAAAAAGTCAAGTAATTTCTCCTCCTTTTAAAAGGCTGTCTTCATGGGGCTTATTTCCTCTTAGATGTTCTACTAAAAAAAACATAATACCTTGAGATAAACATTCTATAGATTTTCCAGGTGACCAGTTTATATGGTCCTATTTCTCCCAAGATCAGAACAGAGTTTCCCCTATCACCAACAAAAATCTTAGTTGTGAGACAGTAAAACTAAACCTTTTTACTCAACAGCTTGAAGTTTCACATTAGCCTATCTCTGTTGTTTCATGCAGCATAAGAAGCGATGGATGAAGGCTTAGGAGTTAGAAAGAACCAAGTTAAAACAATAACTCTTCTACTTATCACCCACACCACCTCAGACATCAGTTAACTTCTCTGTTCCTTACATAATTAGAATAATAACACATGGTAGTTTTTATAAAATAATTATAGAGTGTTAAAATGTAATAATTAAGGTAAGTCTCAGTCTAACAAATTTCAATTGAGTTTATTATTTGGGGATAACAGAAAGTTTAGTAGTCTTTCTGTATCTTTGTATCTTACTGATTTTCTTTCACTTGCTGTATTTTCCCTTTCAGATCTCATTGTGGTCTTTACTCATTAGAGGCAAAAACAGTACTCTTGCTTCTCTCTTTGAATATGCCGAAACTGTTAATATGCAGAAATTGAATAGAAATCAAACACACAGTCATCTCTTAGGACTAAAATATACAGAAGGAGAAAAAGTGAGCATAATTTTGCTCCAAAACACTGGATGTTGTTTATGCCTAGGGTAAAATTTTTCAGTTTCAGCACTATTGGCATTTGAAGCTGGATGACTTCTTGTTGTGGGGGACTGTCCTGTATATTATGAAATTTTTAGCAACATTTCTGGCTTCAAGCTACTAAATGAAAGTACCACCACCCCTTTCCATATAGGAATCAGCTTATTGTTGCTCTAGCTTTCTGCCTGGAGAGTCTCTAGGCTGCAGGAGAGAAAGAAGAACCCAGGCAGAGCCCACTGGAATTCATGAGTTGAGGGGATGGAGCTGAGATTCAATAGAAACCACAGTATTTAGAGTTTGCTGTATAGATACATCGAAAAAGATACATGACACAGCAGGAGAAAACATAGAAACCTGGGAGTGAGTTGAATCAGTGAACACAGTAGATTAGAGTTCTGAGGAAAAGTCATACAGCAAACCAAACAGAGAGAAGAGAGTGAGCAGAGCGACACCTTGGTCACTCGAGAACAAATCAAAGATGTAGGTCAAAAACCCGTCAAAGAAAAGTCCAGAAACTTATGAAGATGGAAAGCTAGGGCAAAGCAAGAAAGCCAGCATGCAGGCAAGTTGCTGGAGCAGGAGACGTGAGACACAAACTGCAAGATACTATGATAATAAGATCACCACCTGAAACTCAGAAAGAGTCAGATGATCTTTCCACTATTCCAAAAGCCAATTTGAGAGCCTGCAGTGGAAGCAAATAAAAAAGCTGATAGAACAGTAGACATTTGAAGATTATGGTAGATCCTCACACTTAGCCAACCACACATGAGTCAGAAGTACTTACAAAATTACCAAATAACTAAGAGATACAAGGCATCTCTACATTGCACATTATAGAGTGTTAAATACTAAAGGGTTAAGCTAGATCTTAGACCCTTCTCTCATTCGTATGCATGGAACTCAATTATTTTGTGAATCTCTAAAATGTTTGCTTTCTTTCTTAGACCTGGCACCTTACTTTGATGCCCTGTTTGGTTATGAGAGTGTTCCTGTCAATATGTCTTGCTTCCTCAACTAAATTCTGTGTCTCTTAAGGTCAAGAACTTCATCTTCTTTGCATTTCCCATGCTGCTTAGAAAAATGCTAAGTATTTAGAAGATGCTCTGTTAACTTGTCTAGAATGAATAATGAATATTACTAATCCCTGTGTGTGAGCATCTGTTTCAGAAATGACATGAGAGAACTGAGAGGTTTGGGAAGACATTTCATGACATTGTGGATTTGGGGGGTTCATTGTTATAGCACTAGAAATGATATTAAGTTGGTCACCTGGGTCTAATTTATTATGTAAATCTTAATGAATATAAAATGATATTAAACAATGAATTTAAATGAGGAGATTTAATGAGAAATTTCCATCTGCATATTTCATCTGGGCCACTGTTACTGCTTCCCAAACTCTATATTAGGATACTCAGGTGTTCTGAGAAGATCAATGAACATAACATCCTGGACTTTTACAATCCATGTAGCCATTTTAAGACGACAGAATAGAACAAGTGAGAGTCAGTCACAAAAAGAAAAAGGAAGATGAAAGATGTGTGATGGTGGAAGAGGGTAGCAAGGGATGTGTGCTTGCATATGTGTCTACAGACATACAATTTTTATGATTTCACATATCTTTATGGACTAAATTTCTCTAGTATTCATCATTAAGTTTCTGAGAATAATGGTTATACATTATCTTAGACAAGCACAAAAACGTGTGCTGAAGGCTACCTTATATTACTTATGTTTGGAAAGGACACATGTTGAAAATGATTGAGGGGGAAGAAAACTGACTTTAGGCTAAGATTTCTAAGGTTTCATGGGAATAAGAAGTGAAAGTGATATGAAGTTCAAAGTCATTCTCACCAGGGTGAAGTTCCAATGTTAGTCATTGCTGTCTGGCAAACCAATAAAATTAGTTACAACCAAAAAGCTACCACAACAATTCAGTTTAAGATGTTTCATTGAGTAAAACTAATTCTAAACAACAGAAAATTCCATAACTTTGCTGATAACTTAGCTCTTTTTTCTCTCTTTGAAAAATGTCACTATGCTTACTTGTGTATTAAAATATAATTTAAAATATATGAAGAATGTGTAGAATTGTGTAAATTTATATAATGTAATAGAAAATGTTAAATTGCCAAATGGTACATATGTTTTGATTATAATGATATAAAATTTTATAGGCATATGAACAAAATAGAGAAAATATAAGAACTTTAATTGTGCTAGGTTGTAGAGTTGTAGATGATTTCAAATGTGCTGAAATATTGTGAAAATACAGTTTTCCTTTTTTAAAAAAATATAACATAAAGAGTTTAAAAAATAAGATCACCTTTTTTAACCAGATACCATTACAGTTTTTATGGAATTCCCCCGGCTGACACATTAATCAAATAAAATGTCCATCCCATGTCTTTGATGTCATTGTTTTACCTTCTCATTTCCTTACATTAGAGGCAAAAGATCCATATCAAATTATGCCATGCCTTTTGATAAATACGTTTATGTGAAAACATATAACTCATAACTCTTAGTTTTTTCCACCAAAGAAAGTAGCTGATAA